ATCCCAGAGAAATATTTGCACATGTGGCTAAGGATGTACAGTACAGTGTTGTTTGCAGTGGTCACGGATTAGGGACAGCTTAAATGTCACTTGAGGGGTAGGAAAACAGATGTGGTATATCCACACTAAACAACTTAAAAAAATAAGCTAGATCTATATGTATGGACAATAAATATACTGTACAGTGAGAAAAGCAAGTTTTGGAACAATACATATCTGTTTGGCTCTTCCAAAAATGATATAATTGTAACTTACGAACATATATGTAACATAGAAATTTCTCAAAGTACAAACACCAAACTGAAGACAACTGTTATTCTGGGAGAGGACTGGCATGTGCTTGGAGCAGGGGTTGCTAAAGATGAATTTTTACTTTCACCTATATTGTGTGAATTTTTTGGTAACAAAACACAGGTACATGTTATCAAATTGTAAGATATATTTTAAATTAAAAGAGAAAGATAAACTGAACTGAATGAAATAACCTAATGTTTTAAAGTTGTCAAAACTGATGGTCAAATCCATTAAAATGTTTTTACAAAGCAACACTTAGGACAGAAAGTTCAAAACTCTTTTTCCTATTTTGTTAAAAGTGTACACGTATATATACACATAGACTACGATATCTAAACATATTTATATGGATACTACATCTACCTATCTATCTACCATCTATCATACACATGATATATATCTAGATATGCTGCACGCATCTATATATACTTACAGTAAAATGCATAAATATTGCCTTGGTTAAATCATAGATAAATATCTCATTCTTTATCATTGTTCTTATTATTTATAATGGCAAAAATATCTCCTATATGATTATGATTAATCTGGTAATTGAATAGGGTTTGCCTTTTAAATAATTCAATTAACTTTAGTAAATTAAAAAGTTTTCTTACACAGTTGCAAAATTAAGGACAAAATGAAACACTGCTTTATGATATGTAGCATCCCTTTAAATGAAACCCTTCCAAGTGTGAAGAATGTGTTAAGGTTTTATCAAATGAATGCTCTGTGTAGAAAAACTGATCTAAATTGTGATTTAAACTTTACAACCACTATGATCTTTCCATTTGAGCAAAACTTCTCTTGGAAACTGAAAGGGTAGGGGGGTTATCTCAGACCTCTGGGGATATCCCAGGAAACAAAAGCTGCTCTAAAGGAATTGTGCAAGATTGACACCAACAGGAATTCCTTTCTAGACGATGTGAGACTGTAGATTTGGTATTTAGTTCCACTGAGGAAAGGGGAAGCTACTGAGCTTTTTACTTACCCAGGGAATGAGTCCTGAAGACCCTCAATGGTCTGTGCGTGTGCGGATGTCTCCGGGGGTGATCAAATCCCCCCCTCACCCCGCAGGGAGGAGACTGTGTGTAGAGACCGCAATCAGCACCTGCCGGTCAGCAGATAAGCCCTCCATATGCAGAGGCACTCGCCCAGCTGTGGCAGAGGAGCAGAGCCAGCCCCTTCCCTCCCCCATCCCCGCAGAACAAAGGGCGGTCATTTTCTGCTCCTCCCAGAGTCAGATGCACGCACACACGCCTTCCATCACAATTAACTCAAGAAACTGAAACACAACACAAACTCACCAGCAACATGCTCAAAATCAATACCATCAATACCCAGAACGAGGATACCAAAAAAGCAAAACAAAACAAACCTATTCAAAGAGTAAATACTCAAAGCAACAGGGCTCGAGTCAGACACACTACAAGGTCAACAAATCTAAGACAAGTTCAGGTACAGGGCGCCTTATAAACTGAAGAGCTAGCCATTATCCCTGGGGTCGCAAACGTAAATGCCTTCAGGGAAAGGTCTAGTGGAAAGGTCTATAAGATAATACAGAGGGGGCCTGTCATGAACTGGACCGCAGGTGCCCCAGGTAAAGGCATTCACATTTAATTTTTTGAAATTTCAACTCTTGCAGCATGATTCTTAAACAGAGTCTACAATCAAATAGAGAAGGAAACAGAGTTAATTATGGGTACAGAATAGATGAAATAGAATAAGAGTCAAAGCCAGAAATGTGGCATGTCCACAGAGAATGAAAGTCAGAGCAGTGATCCTAGCTGTCTTTTATTTGAAAGGATGGTGACCACTTGGTTTATATCTTCAAAGGCAAGAGCAAAACAAAAGTTAAAAGACATGGCTTATTAAACTCTAATATGAGGGATTCAGATTTGTCAAACAGATTCTTGGCATAAATAATTGAGCTAGATTACAAAAAGATTGCACATGTTCTCTTGGAAGGCTTTAAATAAATGGAGCCTCCAAGAACTATAGGTGTGGCCTTATTGGAAGGCAAGGGGTGGACCAAATGACCTCCCAAGGTCCTGATTTAAATATGTCTGCATAGTCAACCCTTGGTTATCTAGTCCAAAGAAGAAGACAGTGACAAATCATCCTACGCTGAAGATAATAAAAAGTTATATTTGTCTTTGGAATGTATTTGGTACTTAAATTAGAATGTGTCTTTCTGATGCTCTGAGAATTCACAATGCTTCACAACAGCCACAAAAAAGCCCTGACCTGGAGCTGGGAGGCTGCCCAATTTCGCCATCCTGTCCTCCATGCAAGCCTTCTCCTTTGCTGGGGGTGGGCAGTATCATCTTTCAGAGGAACACTCAGCAGCCCAAGCTTTCTCAGACAGGGCCCACCTGGCTCAACCCTCCCCTGGGATTAAAGAGAACAGTCTTTCCCTGATCTCTGGCTGATTCAGGATGAAGAGTCGGGATGGTGTGGGCTTTGTTTTCAGAGGATGACTCCCAAGTGCTATATAGGACCCACAGGAAGCAGCAAGCTAGACAAGGTTTACTCTAAGCTGACTACAAACGACGGTCTAGCCTCCCCACCACAGAGGACACAGAAGCAAATTCCTGGGGTTTCTTGAGAGAGAGAGAGACTTCATTGAAAGGGAAGATGAAATGAGTGCCCAGCACTTGGAAAGAATGAAGCTGCCTGTTCAGGAGACGCAGTACAACCCATGCACGTCAAAGGATGGGTGTGATGGAGAGCTGCACTTGAAGCCAGCGTCCAAGGTGAAGGGAGGGCATGCCCACAGCAGCAACTTGTGGAGGGTCCAGCAGGAGGGAAGGATGGTTGCCCCACCATCCTCTGTCACTCCCAGGGTCTACCAGGGGAGGCTGGTGTCACCTAACAGGAGGCAGGGCCAACTAGAACATTTCAGAAATGCATCAAAGTCATTTAACCCGAGACTCATGGCTCTGGGAGGAATGATTTGATGAGGTGGGCTGCTCCCTGATTCAGAGAGACACTGGACCGTCACAGCACTGAATGCAGACAAGCTGCTTGGCCCCACCCTACTCAGGTCACTCAGGCAACAGGGTCACTACAATCACTTCTGATTTGCCTTTTTCTAGCACACTCTGCTCTTTAGTTTTTCCTTCTTAAGACCCAGAACCGTGCTAATTTAAATGTGGCTATTTAGTTTAAATGAAATAAAATTAAAAATTCAGTTCCTCAGTCACAGTAGCCACATTTCAAGTGCTCAACAGTCCCATGTGGCTAGTGGACACCATATTGGACAGCACCAACACAGAACATCTATGTCATCACAGAAAGTTCCACTGGATGGGGCATTTATCCAGACTTCTAGGAGGGTCTAGAATCAGGTACCTTCTACTCTTCACAGGGTAGAAGAAATGAATAAATGGAAGAAGACGTGTGCTTTACAAAGTGTCTTTTCTACACATCATCACCCCTGATCCTCACGACCGCCCTGGGTGGTAGGTGGGGGTAGACTTCAATAGGCACCTTATACAGATGAGGAAAGCAGGCACCACATAGCTAAGTAACTTACATGAAGTTCGCAACTATTGAGTGGTATTGTTAGAATTAAAACCAGGTCTTCCAATTCCAAGGTCAGTGCTTTCTACTGTTACATGCAACTGCTACAAATAATGTTACCTGCCAGTGACTTTTTTCAGTGCTGCCATAAAAGCTCGGGCCTCCCAGAATGACGCTGACATTTTCACTGGTCAGCTGATTTTTGTGTTTTCACTGGTCAGCTGATTTTTGAAGTGATGACAAAACTTTGCACAACTGTAGTTCAGCAGCTTTAGAGTTAGGAAGCCCAGGGGTTCGAATCCTGACCCATCCACATCCTGCTTCATTGACTAGGGCAGGTGGCTTACCATCTAATTTCCTTTCCTTGTATATGTACTTCATAGTGTTGTCAGGAGGATTAAATAAAACAATGCCTCTGAAAAAGGCTTAGCACAGTGCCTGGAATGTATTAGAGATCCATAAATAACAACTATCCATGGTAACTGGCAGAATTGACAATGCACTGGTACATGCAATACCCTATTGAGGCTTCAAGACAAGAAAGCATTATGATTATTCCCCTTTCTCCAGCTGATACACCTGAATCTCAGTGAGTAAGGGATTGACTTAAGGTCATGCAACTAGAAAGCTGTAGATCTAGGGCATGAACTCAAGCTATTTGGACTCTAAATCACATGCTTGTCTTTCTACGCAATGTTGCTTCTCAGAAGAGAAGGGAACAGTGGGCACCAAGGCACGCTTTAGAGGATGTTTAGCTACCCTGAATTCCCATCTTCCTCCCTTCTTTGAAGTGGACAATTAATGTTTTCTTGGTCTTATGGAAGATACTGTGCAAAGGCAGCTTTGAGCATCCCAATCTATCATAATTGTCACCTTTAAGCCACTCCTATGTAGGGATGTCTACACTGGTAAGGAAGTAATGCTTGTATAACTAAGGAAGTTTAAAAACATGAAGAGAATGCCTTGAAGCAGAGTATTCAAATTCTCTTTCTGAAAAACCATCCATGCTCCATCTTCTCCCCGCTATAGCAAAAGGCAAGGACATGGCATACTAGAGCCCCAGCTGAGCCCAGCTGAGACCTATGGGTTGTTGCAAGCCACTGGCTTTTGGTGGTTGTTACTCAGCCTTATCACAGCAAAAGCTGACTAATACACCTGTCAAACTCAGGGTAGGAGGCACTTACCCTGCCACAACGATCTCAAAATCTCCATCATGGTCCACATCGGTGACTGCCACACCATAGTTGAGCTGGGTGGGGTTGCTGTCATAGTCAGGGGGCAGGACCGAGCTGGTGACTGCAGTGAACATGGGTTCAGCACGCTGGGACCCCTCAATGGGGGGCAGAAACCGCAGCAGCAGCAGGAACAATAACATCCTGAACACCTGAAACCAAAAGTTACGAATGTTACTGCAAGTTCTGATAACCAAACAGCCCAGAGTAGGCACATAAGTACCTTTTCCCCCTGTTCACGGAGGGCTTGGCAATTCCTAGGCTGCCACTTTCCCCTAAGACCTGCCCTAACTACCATGTTTAAGACTGCAGCCTGCCTGCATCACACCTGATCATACTTATCCTGCTCTGCTTTATCTTTTTCTTAGCACCTTTCACTGTGTAACATACTGCGTAATTTACTTATTCATTGTGGTCACTATTTATCATCTGTCTCCCTCTGCTAGAATGCAAGCTCCACCAGGGCAAGAATCTCTGTGCTTTGCTAACTCGCTGGCATCGAGCCAAGGACAGGGGCTGACACATAATAGGCACTCAATACACACTTGAGTGAATGAAGGAAGGAAGGAATGGTCGAGTATAAATATATAAGCATCTCCCATACTCTGAAAGAAAGATTGGGGGAATGTACAAAATAACCACTTTCAAATAGTCCAGGTATGGAGCGAGCCCCCATGAGTACCCTGGTCTAGAACAACAATAGAGGCAGTGAAGGATTATCCTTCTATGGGAGATACCCCAGAGGTAGCCTGGAGTGAGTCTGAGACTTGGCAGGTTCCTCTGGCCAAGGTCCCTCCCTAGGGCAGCTGGCCATCATCTCCAGATCAGGAAGCAGTCAGTTAGGGAATGTATTCCAGCAGGATCTGGCGGGTGGTACATCATTCATTTGGAGAAATTAAACCATTGTGTGCGTGTTTTATTATAAATTAATTATGTATAACCCATTGTATAATTCATTATTATATCTCTAACATAACTCAGGGTGTTGCCGAGCAGCCTGGGGCCATGGGAGCTGGTGACATGCACCCAGGAGACTGATGAGAACGGCCAAGGAGGTAGAAGGACTCCACCCCCTCTTTGTGTGAGCTACAGATGGCACCACCCTGAGACTCTGCCTGGAGGCCTGGAATCAGAACTCAGAGTGTTCTAAAGGCCCTCCTGGAACAAGTCCCACGAAGGCTGTAGGTCCGGTCTTGCAGGCAAAGTGGGGCCTTCCTGCCTTCAGAAGGCAGCAGACCCCTTCTTGATGGAACTTTTCCTGCTGGCATGCTGGTGCGTCTGGCAGCTGAGAACAAGGCCGAGTGAGGCTGAGGTCTCAATGAAGAAGATGGGGAGGCTGGCTTCCCATAAGGAGACAGACACTCCTGCCAGCAAATGAGCCTGCCTCAGTTCAGGACCCAGAAACTCAAATGAGGGGCCCAGGCACTGCCTTCACAGTCAAACATGATTCAGAAGCCTCTCTAATGCCTTGCTGGTGAGGCCGGAGAGAGACCCAGGGGGCAGGGCTCCAAGTGCAGGGCAGAAACTAATCTCAGTGAGCCTTCCTGGGAAGGAGGCTCTTGGAGCCTGTTCACAGGGCACATGTTGGGTGTTGCACTGTCAGAGTGAGGTCAAGTCTAAATTACAGAGATGTCTGAACAAGACAGTATATGCTACTGGGCTGTCTAATCACTGAAGGCAAATGCATCACTGTGAGAGTTCTGCCACTCGGCAGGAAGTTTGGTTGGATGAAGGAAACTTATAATTGGACTAATGAGCAGCTGGTGGTAAAAATGAGAAGCTAAAGAGTATTTAATAACCAGTGTAGACATGCTGAAATGTAAGGTGGATCTGAAGGTCACTGGTCTTTTCAAGGTATGACCTCTATTATAGGGACAGCAAATGAGTTTCAACCTGAGAGCCAGATCCAATTGATTGGTAGTGGATTGAAAGAGTACTGTGATCAGATTACAAGGTTTTCAATGGACACAGAAGAGAAAGTGGCATTGGGTATACCTTCTAGGAGCTAGGTAGTCCCTTCTGGGCACGATTCCTGCAATTTGGGTCACTGCCACCAGGGAGGCAGGTACCCCTATTAGGGTAATACAAGCAACTGGTAGAAATTTTCTAATGAAGGCCACGAGAGGCAAGAAGCCTGATCCAGCCTGTTGATTTTCACCTTTTCTGTGAAAAGGTGAACTTTTAATTAAAGGAGCCATATGAAAGAGGTAGCTACTCTGTGTTAACCATTTCCAGATAAATACCCTAAAGCAAGACTAAAAAGAAGTAATACACTTATGGGTTGACCTCTATTTTGCTTGGTGACCTTGAACAAGTCACAGCCTTGTTGGGTCCCAGCTTTCTTCTCCAAAATGAAGGTTTGGAATAGACTCTAAAGGTGCTTCCCAGCTCTAAAATTCTATGATGAATTAAAGGATTTTTTTTTTTTTTTTTAGAAGCAGACCTTCAGTAGTTTTTCTCCCTAGCTCCTTCCAAAAATTTCAGACCAACCTGTGTGATTTTCTTTTCTGAGCATATTGAACATATTTTGAACAAAACAGCTTTTGGCAGGATTCTACAGTAGTTCACCCACAGGGGCCAAGGCCAGAGAGGAATCAGCCATCTGATTGGATTCTGAAATCACCCTGCAGTGGACAGCCTCCCCCATGGTGCAGGGAGAAGACGCACTTTATCATGAAGAAACTCAGGAAAAGGTCTGGAAAATATCTCCTTCTACTCTCAGGGCTCACATGAAAGAAATCCCTCAAGTGCTCCTCTTGGAGGAGCTACACAGACCATGGCTACACAGACTGCTCGCCAGACCAGCATCAACATCAGCCAGGAGTTTGTTAACATGCAGGATCTTGGGCCCCACGCCAGACCTAATAAGTCAGAATATGCATTTTATTATTTTTTAATTTTTATTAAAAATTTTTTTAATGTTTATTTTTGAGAGAGAGAGAGAGAGAGAGAGAGAGAGAGAGAGAGAGAGAGAGCAGGGGAGGGCAGAGAGAGAGGGAGACACAGAATCTGAAGTAGGCTCCAGGCTCTGAGCTGACAGCACAGAGCTGGACGTGGGGCTCAAACTCATGAACCATGAGGTCATGACCTGAGCCAAAGTCAGATGCTTAACTGACTGAGCCACCCTGGCACCCCCAGAATATGCATTTTAATAAGACTTTAGGTGACACAAATGCACGTTAAAGTTTGAGAAACACTGCTTAGCTGTAGCTGTATACTAGAATCACTGGGGGAGTTTTTAAAAAATACTGTTGTCCAACAATGATTTCTTGGACATGACACCAAAAGTACACACAACAAAAAAAAAATACAGATAAAATGGATTACCTCAAAATTTAAAACTTTAGCACATCAAAGGACACTATCAACAGAGCAAAAAAGTGACCCACCAAACAGGAGAAAATATTTGCAAATCATACATCTGATAAGGGATTGATATCCAGAATATATAAAGAGTTCCTACAACTCAACAACAAAAAAACAACCCAATTAAAAATGGGTAAGGGACTTGAATAGACACTGCTCCAAAGAAGAGATATACAAATGGCCAACTAATATGTGAAAAGACACTCACTCAACATCAGTAACCATTAAGGAAATGCAAATCAAAACTACAGTAAGAGACCACTCATACCATTAGGATGGTTATAGTAAAAAAACAAAAAAACAAAAAAACAAAAAAGATGGAAAATGGCAATCGTTCGTGAAGATGTGGAGGAGTAAGACCTTTGTGTATTGCTGGTGGGAATGTAAAACGGTACAGCTACTGCGGAAAACTGCTATGTAGCAGTGCCTCAAAAAAAGCCCCAAATACAATTGCCATGTGATCTGGCAATCCCACTTCTGAGTTTACACTGGAAAGAACTAAAAGAGGGGACTCAGACAGATATTTCTACACCCATGTTCACAGCAGCATTATTCACAATAGCCAAAAGATGGAAGCAGCCCAAGAGTCCAAATGGGGAAACAAAATGTGGTCTATACATAGAATGGAATACTAGAACCTTTGGAAAGGAAGAGAATTCTGACACATGCTACAACATGGATAAACTGCAAAGACATTATGCTAAGTGGAGTAAGCCAGTCACAAGGATACATAATCTATAATTCCACTCAGATGCAGTACCCAGGGTAGTCACGTTCACAGACACAGAAAATAGGATGCTGGCCGCCAGGGCTTGGTGGGGAGAGGAGAAACGGGGAGTTTGTGTTTAATGGATACAGAGTTTCAGTTTGGGAAGATGACAAATTTAGAGACGGATGTAGTGATGTTGCACAACAATGTGAATGCACTCAGTGTCACTGACCTGTACACTTAAAAATGGCTAAAGTGGCAAACTTTATGTTCTCTCGATATATATTAGCACAATAAAAAAATATAGATGTCTGGTCTCATACCAAGAGATTCCCACTTAACTCGCACCGGCTGCAGCAGGGGCATCAGAGTTTTAAAAGCTCCCATGTGATCATAATATGTCGCAAAATTTAAGAAACGCTGTTCTATACGAGTGCTTCAGTACTTCTCCAACTTTAATGTGCATACGAATCATCTGGGGGTTTGTTAAAATGCAGATTCTGACTAGGTAGATCTGTAGTAGGGTCCAACATTCTCTAGTTCTGACAAGTTCCCAGGTGACGTCAATGGCTCCAGTCTACAAACTGCACATTGAATAGCGAGGAACAGCTATCCCACAGCTCCCAGGCCAGAAACCAGGGTATATACTACAGTGAAGGTACGAGATTAGTTCCAGAACCTTCTCCTCTGTCTCCAGATCTAAGGAGCTGAAATCAAGGGAGGGTTATGCAATCCACAGGGCTGCAGGCTCAGTTTATCCTTATACGCTCAAAGTACTAGCTGTCTTCAGCTTGAAGTTAAATTACCACACTTGATATGGAGTGACAAAGAAGGATTCTGACTCCAGTTTTGCAAAAAAGTGAGAAGAGGGGAAGGGTTGGAACTGGAGGGGGGTCAGGTCAAGGAGAAAAGAGATAGCTACCATCAAAGGCTTAAAGAAAATGGGGTATGGGCAGGAATTTGCAGGCAAGATAGAGATGCATGGGGCGCCTGGGTGGCTCAGTTGGTTAAGCGGCCGACTTCGGCTCAGGTCATGATCTCACGGTCCGTGAGTTCGAGCCCCGCGTCGGGCTCTGTGCTGACAGCTCAGAGCCTGGAGCCTGTTTCAGCTTCCGTGTCTCCCTCTCTCTGACTCTTCCCCGTTCATGCTTTGTCTCTCTCTGTCTCAAAAATAAATAAGCGTAAAAAAAATATTAAAAAAAAGACAGAGATGCATGCCAATGTGTTCTTAAAAACCATCATAGTGCCTGGTACTAGTAGGTGCTCAATTATTATTTGTTAAATGTACAAAGGAAGGAATATGTCCAAATGATAATGTGAACCGGCAGAAATGGCTTGCAAGTTGTCAAACACTTATTTAAAAACGGTTCTTTCCCGAAAGCAATGCTTCTCAAACTGTAACGTGCTTACAGATCACCTGAAGATCTTGGTAGAATGCAGATTCTGATTTGGTAGGTATGGGTAGGTTTGGGTAGGTATGGGTCCGAGTTTCTGCACTCTAACAAAACGTCACAGGATGCCTCTGCTGCTGGTCTGCAGACTTCACTTTTAGTAGCAAGGCTCTAGACCAACGGTTCTAAACCCTAGCTGGCCAACAGAATCACCTGGGCAGTGTTTAGAAACACACTGTGGCCCAGCTCCTTCACCCAGTTCTGATTACATCAGTCTGAGGTGGGGCTTGGGTGCTGTATATTTTTAGAAGCTCCCCAGATGATGTTGATGGGCAGCCTGGGCTGAGAACCACTGCCCCAGGCGCATGGTCCTCAGATATCCGGGAGTGTAAGCTACAATCTGATTTAAAGTGAAAAATGTTTCTGCTACCAAAATTCGTCAGCAGCTTGTTGAAGTATCTAAGAAAGCCTGCTTAGCTAGAGAATGTCAAAGGAAGACGTGAGATGCGGAGTTTGGGGAGGAAAGCCGAGCGGGATGGGACCGCCTGAAGCAGCGGCACAGCAGGCACCCGGAGTGACCTCACATTTTACATGGCTGACTTGGGAAACCTCCTGTCACACCACTGTGAACATCTGAATCTTGTGGGAGAGCGTGGAGAAGTTAAAAATAGAATTAAAAAGTAGGTTGAACTGAATTTCTTTGTTTTCTTGAATGCTCGGGTATTAAGTGCCTACTATGTATTCGAGCGCTGAGTGGTGCCGAGCGGTAGGTTAAGCGTGTAAGTGCAAAGGGCGGACGTAGGGGCAGAGCGGCCTGGAGGAGGCGAGGCTGACTCCCAAAGGCAAAGCTTGAGCAGGTGGGGGAGTGGGGCCAGGGTACCTGTACCTAGCTAGATGAGGAACATGGGCTGCGCCTGCAGGGGAGGAGCGGGCAGGGGCAGAGAGGGGTCTGTCTTAACAAGGGCAAGAGATCACAGAACTTGTGTTTCAGACAGTGAGAAGAATTGCTTTGTAATAATAATTAAAAAAAAAAAAAGCTCTCTAAGCAAACTTCTTGAGCAATCCTCAGCAGGATAAAAAGTGGGAAAGAAAAACCCAAAGCCTGGAGTCAGGGACCTGGATTTGGATCTCAACACCCGCCCCGCCCCACAAACTAGGACCTGGGGCATGTTCCTTAATTGTTCAGATCTTCAGTGTCCTCATCCGTGAGGTGGGAATCATATGCCACAACAAGGTTTCAAGGGTTAGGTGAGCGAGTGAGCACCTGCCGGGGGCCAGGCAGGGCAGTGCTGCTCACTGCTCGTTTCCCTTCCTTTCACACGGATAGTGTTAGGTTAGATCGTCCTTAGACATTGGCTGGGGGTCACATGCAGCCAAGCTCAGTTTTCTGCGGCCTTGGGACTTTCCTGAATTGGGTCTGAAAACTGGTAACCAAGCAACCTAGATCTCGGATGTGGGGTCAGGCAGCTGTGGGGAGAGGCTTCCAGGACAATTTTCAGGGCAAGCAGTTCTTTAGCAATTATCGAAAGAGCCAAGGGCACCACCCCGAGATCTCACAAAAGAAGAGCCCGGAATGCTACAGATGTTGGGAATGGGCAGAGAGCACAGACCCTTTCCAGACATTGTAGGAGGGCAGAGTCTCACTCTACAAAAGAGCTCTGGATGCTTTGGATGTTAGAGATGAGCAGGGAGCCCAGACCCTCCCAGACACTGTAAGAGGGCAGAGGCTCCAGGGAGAAAGAGAGCTGTGGGGTCACTGTGCCCTGTGCAGGCTGGGCCACCAGATCTATGCAGAGTCCCACGGAGGAGGGCTTGGAACTAAGGCATCTTTGGAGAAGAGGCAACAGAAGCCGTCTTGGTTTATTTACCCATAACGACACTCCCTGTGGACCCGTGATGAGCCTGGGATTCTGCTTGACAGCACTAAGGTCACAGGGAGGAAGTCAACATTTGCAGTACAGGGTGAAGGGTGCCATGGAAGAGGACGCACAAAGAGAAACCTAACTTA